TTTTTTAATTAATACAAAACGAAATTTTATCAAATATGTTACGATTTACAAAGATCCCTTCTTATGCTATATCCGCGAATGTGGACTGCGCCCACTAGATCGTACGGTCATAGAAAGGGTGTGGGGTGTGAATGTGGGGTGTGGGTGTGGACTCAAATGAAAAATAGTCACACCGCACACCGACACTCACACCCTCAAGAGAGTTTATAAGCCGATGACATAGTTTTACAATGAATGAGTTCTAGAAAACAAACATAAGGCTTGAGTTGATTGTTGATTCTCCGTTCTACGTTTTTTTTTGAGTATTCAATGAAAAATAAACTCTATTATTGATAGGTGTACACAATCAAACCAATAAGGAATAACTGCCAATTCCCAAACGATTGGTTAATTATATTTCTTCAGATTGTACGTAAGATTTCGAATAATGAAAAAAAAAACAAATCAATATCTTCTTATTTTCTAGTTCTTCCAACATTTTCTGAAGGCAAAGGATTTGGAGATGGAAGAAGTGGTGGTGGTGGTTTTAAAGTTGGTTCTAAAGGATCAGGAACATTTGGTGGAGCATCAAGTTATAGTCGAGGAAATAGTTATAGATCTCCTATGAATCAACCGTAAGTAGTTTGATTGGTGTTTTGTTTTTGTTCTTGGTTTTCTATACTTTCTTGATTTATAGTCGTTCGGGTAGTGGTTTTAAAAGTAAAACTATTAGTTTTGCTGCTGGAGCTGCTGGTGGTATAGCAGCATATTCATTGATGAGATCAATGTCAGGTTCATATCATTCTCGACCTGCTGGTTATTATGGTCCAGGTTATGGAAGTAAATCATTGAGTTTTATTTTTTTCAAGGATAATATTTATCTGGTTTTTAGCTGGAGCAACTTGTGTAAATAATGAAGATATGAATGGTACCGTTTTTGGACAATTTCGTTGTCCATTGTATGGATTTCCGCCTGAAGCAAAATATTGTTGTGGTGAATATGGAAAACAATTTTGTTGTATACCTGATAGACGAAGGTTTATTTTTGAAAACAAAAAAATCTTTTTCTTTCTTTTTTTAAATATTGCTCTATTCTTTTTAGTAGTTTTTTTACTAAAGCTTCACATTTTGGATGGATTGTTATAGTTATAATAATATTTATTATTGTTACACTACTTTGGATTCGTTGTCGTCGACGTCGACAAAGTATATCGATTAGATTTTGCTATTTTTTTTTGTCATTTGTTTATTTTTTAATTTTTTGTAGAAGATGTTGTAATGATACCAACAGACCCACCCATGCATCAAGACTATGAACCACCACCTTTTTATCGTCCACCACCAGCACGTAATGAAAATCCATATGGAATTCCACCACAAAATCAATCAGCAAATTTTAATCCATATGCACAACAATCTCATATGCCATATCCACCTCAACAACAACCATTTAATCCATATTAAGTTTACAAAACGGTAAATAAAAACTATTTTGTTTTTATTGTAATTCATCAAACTACTCAGAAATCAATCAGCTGAAAA